TTGCTCTTGGAGGGGTGGCTCTGGGTCTGGGGGGGGCTGTGCCCGAAGCTGGGCATGCCCAGGCTCACGGGGGGGCTGGTGGGCATCTCCAAATCCAGCCCTTTGCTGAAGTCTGTCTCGGGGGCCACCTTCTTGGGGGACTGGCTGAGGTTGCTGGGGGAGGTCCACACGCCCTCGTCCACTTGCCTGCCAGGGGCACAGCGATGGTGTTGGGGGGGCTGCACGGCACCAGGGGGGGCCACTGCACCCTCCCCACGCCCCAAAAACCCTGTTCTCCTGCTCTGATGGCTGGGAAGGGGTTGGGGCTGATGCTGCAGCCTGTTTTGGGGGAGCACATGAACGAGCCCCTCTGCCTGGCTGCCTGTCTTCGTGAACCTGGGAGGAAATTGGATCTCTCCAAACCCTTCCTCTCCATCAGATCTGGCTGAAACTGCCCTTTGGATCCAGGAGTTATCAGGGATGAGGATGACAGCCAGGCAGTTCAGACACTGCATGATCCTACAGGCTAATTTCCATGGAAAACCAGGCTAGTGATGAGCCCGGGGCGATCCCGGCGCGGCCGAGCCCTGAGCCATCCCGAGAGGTCTCCTAATGGGAAGAGGCAGGGGGGCTCCACGGCCCAGCCTGCCACGAGCATCACATCTGGGAGATGATTTTTGTTTTTTTTCTCCAGCAGAGCAATTCCCTGCTCCTCAGGAAAGGGATTTCTGATCCCACCAAGGGTCGCTTTTCCTTCCTGAGACACAATCCCTCATTTTTCGAAGCGATAAGGAAAAGAGGGGTTCCCACACAGACCTGGAGAGGGCTGAGGGTGGTTTTGATGTTCCTTAGCAGAAAAATGAGCCATTTACCAATGTCCCTTGGATGCCCCTCTGTCCTGATGGATGACTTTGGGATTTGGGATTAAGGCAGAGGATGCCGACACACGTGGGGACACAGGGACAGCCGAGGTGTCCAAGGGGCTGGGTTTGGGGGCTCACCTGCGGATCTGGGCGAGGGTGTCTGTCACTGTCTTGCAGCGTTTGAGGAGCCCATCGAGCCGGTTCGGCTCCTCCTTGAGGAACTTCACAGCTTCCACCTCCACCCGCAGCACCACCCGCATCTTGCTCTGCAGGCTGGGGAACTGGGCTGGGGGGGGACATCGGGGGTCACCACGGCCCCTTTGTGCCAGGGAGACCCTCCCAGTGCCCACCCCACACCCACCAACAGCACCATGTCCATCATACCCAGGGCAAGAGCACCCTGCCAGGTTGGAGCAGGAAGGGTGGATCCTGGGAAGCCTGGGCTTTCCCCAGGCCCCTCATCCCTTCTCCATCCACCCACAGGCACCAGTTTTAGCCCATGAAGGCCCCTCCACATCCAGGGGCAGCAGGACACACCCAGTGCTGATGGGCACCGGGATACCCTCTCCAGGAATGCAGAGGGACACGCTGGCGGGTGCAAACACTCAAACCCAGAGGCAACGGGCATCCTGGAGCATCCCACACGCAGGGATGGAGCAGGGAAACACGGGAAGGCTCCGCCTGCCCCCCGGCCCATCCTCACCCTTCAGGTCTGTGAGCGTCTCCCCCAGCTGCTTGAGCACCACCGCCTTCTCCTCCAGCTCCTGCACAGGGATCAGCCGGTGATTGTGGGCCAGATCCTTCTGGATCTTCTCCACAGACTTCTCCAGGTCACTGCGAGCACAGAAGGAGGGCGGGGGTGTCACTGTTGTGCCCCAGAGAACCCCAGGGGGGGCAGAAGGGAGAGGACCACCGGGCTGGGGACCCCTCCTCGGGCAGGGACACGTCCCGGCAGCGGGCAGACCTGCAGCCAGGGAGGATCCAACCCCTCGAGGGGGGTGCAGGGACCCCCTGCCCGGGCTCACTTGAGCTGCTGGGTGATGAGCTCCTCCTCGTTGAGGTAGCGGAGCCGCTCCTCCTCCACGAGGCTGCGCTGGCGCTGCAGAGGGTCCTCGTGCTTGCGCACGGTGTCCGTCACCCGCACGCTGATCTCCGTCTCCGTCCGCCGCAGCAGCGTCTTCACCGCCTCCTGGTTCTGCAGCTGCGCGGATGGAAAGTGGATTCAGGATGGGTGAGACCCTCCCCAGTGGGTGATGGGCCCCCACAAG